GCGAGCAGAGCGAGAAGCACAGCAACTGCCACCGGGTACCACCTCAGGGACCACCAGCACCTCCAGTACCGGGCCAGCTGGCACCCCTGGGGGCTCTGGGCCCCGGCCCTGATGGGGGTGCCCCTGCATCAGGACCCCGACTGGGTAGCCCCAGGGGTCCTCCACCATCCCAAAGACCTGATCGAGGTGACATTTGCCGGAGACCCGGAGGATTTGTCTTACTTTGTGGTCAGGGTAATGAAATTTGTGGAGAAGTGGGGCCACTTGTTCCCAGATAACAGCAGTCGTGTAGATGTGATTGCAGCTCGGTTGCGTGGAGCTGCAGCAACATGGTACATGGGCCTCCACAACTCATGGGGTCCAAAGTTGGTTAGTGTAGATGCTTTTATGTGGGTGTTGCGTGTCCAGTTCGAGGATCAGAATGCCGGCCCGAAAGCCAGGGCATTCCTCTGCACCCTGAAACAGGGGAAGCGCTCAGTGAGAGAATATTTGTCCAAGTTTAAACTCCGCACCGCCAAGATCTGGAATTGGCCAGACCAAGTCTTGGCTGAATTGTACCATGTGGGGCTGAACGCCGCGATCTGCAAGACCATCCTTCGATCCGTGGACCTGGTATCGCTCCTGGCGTGGATGCAGGAGGCAGAGAGTGGAAGGCCACCTGAACACCCTGCATTTGGATATTCCAGCAGCTGGGGAGGGGGAAACCCCAGTCCCAGAGCAGAAGGGGAAATCGGTGAGACCACCCAAAATGCTCCAAACCAATGCTTAAAGCAGGGGTTATGTCTCCAGTGTGGAGAGTGTGGCCACTTTGCTGCTGACTGCAGCAGATCGGGGCAGGGAAACTGGGGAAACCCAAGCTGCCCAAGATGCACAGGGGGACTCCTGTGAAGAAACAGTTGAGGCAAGCCGAAATTTGCTAAGACTCTCCAGGTGGCCCTGCCCAAAATCGAGGATGACACCAGTGAAGAGGAGGAAACCGAGCTGGCGGAAAACAGGCAGGGCCTGCTGTAAGCAGCATGGAGCAGCAGGGCTCAATCCCAGAGGTGCCTAATGTGGTAAGCAGCTACCCTCCCCTTTTTTCGTGACTGTGACTCTCTTGAATCCAAACATGGGGACCCATATCAGAGTAAGACACCTCATTGACTCGGGGTGTGGGAGGGATCTTATTAATCCATCCCTGGTCTCCAGGCTAGAAGCAGCGGTGGTGTGGTTGCTGGGATCCTTAATATTCACCCAAATTTATGGATCCACAATGAAGGAACCTTGTCAATTTGAGACAGTACCGCTGCGATTAGGGGCGGGGGATCACTGGGAAGACCCTTTGTTTGTGATCACCCCGGCAGCACGGTTCCCGCTAGTGTTGGGAAGCCCCTGGCTACATGGCCATGATCCCTACATTCTTTGGGATGAGGGGAAAGTGCTATTCATCTCCCCATGGTGCAAAACGCACACCTGGCAACCACAGTGGGGCCCCAAACCGAAGCCTGAAACCCCTCAGGCATGCCTAGCACAAGAAGAATTGGTTTCCATTCCCCTGGAGTATTGAGACTTGGCTAGGGTGTTTGAAGAAGAAGAAGAAGCGGATGAACTCCCATCCCATAGACATTCGGATTGTAGCATTGAGTTATTGCCGGGGCATAAGATACCCAAGGGACGGATTTACGTGATGGGCCCAGCCAAGAAGGATGAACTCCGTAAATGTATTGACAAGTATTTAGCCAGAGGGTTCATCAGACCAGCTTCCTCCCTGATTGCCGCTCTGGTACTGTTCCTGAAAAAGAAGGACAGGGGGTTGCGGTTGTGTACAGACTATCGGGGGTTGAATGCGGTGACTTCTACCAATGCCTACCCCATGCCACTCATTAAAGACCTGTTGGCCGAAGCATCTAAAGGGAAAATCTTTTCCAAATTAGACTTCCGAGATGCGTACCTTCAAGTGCGCATAAAAGAGGGGGATGAGCTCAAGACTGCCTTTAATACCCCCCTGGGCCAGTTGGAATATAGAGTGCTGCCATTCGGTCTCCAGGGGGCTCCGGGAGTTTTCATGAACCTTATCAATGAGGTGTTACACAAACATTTGTTCAAAGGGGCCCTAGTCTATCTAGATGATATCTTCTTGTACTCCCCTGATTTACCCTCACATGTGACATTGGTGCGAGAAGTACTCCAGACGTTACACAAGCACAAAGTGTTTGATAAGCTATCCAAGTGCCAGTTCCATCAAACAGCCATTGACTTTTTGGGGTATAGGATTTCAGAAAAGGGGCTGGAAATGGACCCAGGGAAGGTCCGGGATGTACTAGGGTGGGCGGCCCTCCGCACCCGCCGCCAGCTACAATCCTTTCTTGGATTTTCGAATTTTTATCAAAATTTTCTACCCAACTTTGCCCAAGTCAGCTTGCCCCTCACTGATCTGTTGAAAACCAAGGGGAAGGGCCCGGAGGCGACCAAACCAGGCGCTAAGCTGCTATGGACAGACAAATGCCAGGAGACGTTCGACCGCCTCAAGGCGCTTTTCCCCTCGAAGCCAGTATTAGCTCACCCCAATGAAAATAAAAATATTATCATCCAAGTCAACGCATCTGATGTTGCCATGGGGGGGGGGGTGATCCTGCAAGAGGGGGACGATGGGCGGTTACACCCCCTGGCCTATGTGTCCCGCAAGTTTAATGAGACTGAATGCAATTGATCAGTGTGGGACCATGGAGGCACTGGTTGGAGGGGGCCCGGGGGCCTTTTGAGGTCTGGAGTGATCACAAAAATTTGGAAGTGTTGAAACCTCCCCTGTAACCTCAATGCTAAGCAGTTACATTGGGCTGATTTGTTTTCCAAGTTCCGATTCATGCTCCCCCTTTTCCCGGGCTCAGCGAATTCTCTAGCTGATGCATTGTCCCACCTCCCCCAACATGACAGCCAATGGGAGAAGATATTGGACTCCATGTTCACATCCTCGCAACTCGGTGGGGTGGTGAGGACTCGGAGCCGTGCGGGCTCCTCCCCCCCAGCTCAACAGTCCGGGCCTGCCCCCTCCCCTCCTGGTCAAGTGGGTAGGACGGCCTGGTCTATCAGATTTGCCTCCGCCTTCTCTGATGATGACAAAGTGGAACGGGAAGGGGGGTTGGAATTGAAAGCGGATGGATGCTGGTACCGCAGCATGAAACTATTAGTCCCTAAAACATTTTTGGGGGAAGTGTTGGCAGCGGTTCATGGCTCCAAACTCGCCAGCCACACAGGGTTTGTCAAATCCCTGCAGCTTTTGCAAAGACAATTTTGGTGGTCACTCATGCGCAAAGATTTGTCCTCGTTTGTTAAGTCATGCCAGACTTGTGTCATGTGTAAACCCAGGCCGGGTAAAACTCCGCGGCTGCTGAAACCTCTCCCAACTCCGAGTCGACAATGGGAGGTGATCTCTATGGATTTTATTACGGACCTGCCCCCTAGTAAATCCATGACTGTCATTTGGGTGATTTATGACGTATTTTCTAAACAGGCTCACTTTGTCCCATTTGCTTCCTTGCCCACCACAAAGGTTTTGGCGAAGGCGTTTTTGCAACACGTGGTTTGCCTTCACACCCTCCCGGGCAAAATTATCTCCGACAGGGGGACCCAATTTGCTTCCAAATATTGGGGGGAGCTTTTGACATTCATGGGAGTAGAATGGACCATGAGTAGTGCTTATCACCCAGAGACTAATGGGGAGACTGAATGTGTGAATCAAACTTTGGAACAATATTTACGATGGTTCACCAACTACCAGTAAGATGATTGGGCAGGCTTGCTGCCACTGGCAGAATTTTGCTACAACAACACGACTCATTCCTCTATGGGAATGTCCCCTTTCAAGCCACTATATGGCTATGACAGCCCCCCTATGCCGTTCCTTGAGGGCGATGCCTTGGGCCCGGGGAATCCTGCACTGTGGTGTCAACAACTTAAAGACTCATGGTCTTTGTTATGCAAAATCTTAGAGGCGGCGAAGGAGCCTTACAAGTCTCAGGCTGACAAGAGAAGGGTGGAGGGTTGGACTCTGCAGCCTTGTGCCTCTGTTTATGTATCTACTAAGAACATTAAGGTTTTGAGACCCAGCCGCAAACTGGGCTGGGAGTTCATTGTCCCGTTTAAAGTCAAACGTCTAATCAATGATGTTACTGTGGATCTAGAACTTCCTAAAAATGTGAAGAATATCCATTCTGTGTTTCATTTCAGCCTCCTGAAATGGGGCCCAGGTCTGAGTCCCTGGCGCCCTACGAAGCTGGTGTCCCCTCCTCTCATGGTAGAGGGCGAGGAACATTTCAGAGTGTCTAAAATCCTGGACTCTAGACGTAATCGTGGCAAACTGTATTAATTGATCTAATGGGTGGACTTTGGACCCCAGCACTGAGAATGGGTGGAAGTAGGGGATATTCGGGCCCCTCAGCTTTTGCGGGAATTTCACCAGGAGTTTCCGGGAAAACCGGGAGATCTCCTGGGCTAGCCGGGAGATTATTCTTTAGGTAGGCAGAATGTCAGCTATGCTGCCATATTGTTTATTAGCCTAGAGTTCGCCTGCCTGACCTATGTACATGTTGGTGTCACATTCCTTCCCTCTCGCTTCTCCCCTTGTTCTCTTTGACCTTGTATTCATGCCTGTGTAGTATCTCCACTTTAATTAACCATGAGACTAGTTTCGTTTCTCAGCCTTGGATCAATTAGGTCATTGGTTACCCTTTCCCTCCCGCGGGAAATGGGCCGATTGGCCCACAGGTGGTGGTGGGGGACCTCTTGAATCTTCTATATCACTATATGCTCATTCCATGCTCGTCATTCCTAACAGTGACCATGTTATTGCAATCATAGTACTGACAATAAAGCAAAACCTTTCTTGGAAGTGTGTGCTCCGTTGTTTGGCCGTGGGTCCTGACAGTTCTACAGGGAAGGCTGTTCAATCAGTGTAGGTATCTATGGCAGGGAGAATGTTTTTAAATGCTAATTTCCTCTTTCTGGCTGTTTTAATCCTAGAGGGAACCCAACCAAAGAATCACTTAAGCAAGAAAATATGAATCCTGCCAAGAAGAAGGTAGGAAGCATATCCTTTATTCTAAAAGCTTCTTGTTGCTTTGTCTTCTTTCCAAAGCAGTCTAGCACATGATTAGTCTAGGTAGACCTTATTATGCACAAATGCTTTTAAAGGCTTCATTCATTTATCTTTACAAAAAAGAGAGCAAAGTTTACTACTCCTGAGACAAGCTCTGTATGCATATAGCATATCTGTGCATGGGGCCAGTGTATGAAGATAGGGGGCATATGAGCCAGCACATGGTCCCTGGCCCTGCAACTGAGATGGCTCTGCCTATACACATTCACTCAAACAAGGGCACTGCTCTTGTGTGCCCACAAGCAGTAGGCATGTAGGGTCCATGCTTGTGGTCTGGAACATAGCTTTCTAAACATTCCTGAAGGATTTTGTTATTTCCATATTGCTGTAATCCTGGAAAAGCACATAAAATAATTTATTTTTGAAGGTAACAAAGTTTGGGGAAAACAGCAGGGGCACTTAAAATGACATGGTTGTAAGAAAGAAGGGGGTGGGGGGGATTGTGATTTGTCTGGTAGTGATGTCAAGTGTTGGCTCCAATAAGTGCTCAGGACACTAGTGTGCTGTTGTCCCCACAAAGAAGCCCAAGATTGCACATCTGAGGCAGGAATGGTAGTTTCCCAGTAGTTTCTTTTAGGAGCCTGGCAGACCTCCTTGATGATTTCATCACTAAGAAGGCTGTGATCCTACAATATAGTATTTGCTGGTCATGGTTCTTAGAGTGGAAATCCATTAGATGGTCAAAGGACATTCGGGAGGAGTGCTCATACAGGAGAATTTGCTTCTTAAGGTAGCCTTGAGAAAGACTATTTAGGTCTTTAAAGGCAAGAAGTGGCACCAAGAAGGTAACTGGAAGCCAGTAAAGTACTTTTAATTTTGCCATACTATATTCCTAATAGCACACCCTGGTCAATAGCTTGGTGTCTGCATTTGCAGCTTCTGAACAGTCTTCAAGGGTAGCTCCATATAGCGCACATTTCAGTAATCTGAATATGAAGTTACCAGTATATATATATAACAGTTGTTAGACTGTCTGTCCTCAGGAAAGTGCACAACTGATGCATCAGCCCAAGCTGATCAAAGGTAGATATCTGGCATAGATGCCACTTGAGCATCCAGATGTCGTGCTGAATCCAGCAACTGTGGACTTGCTTCTTCAGGGGCAGTGGGAACCCTTCCAGAACAGGCAATCCAACTACTCCTAAATAAGCTTGCTGTCCTACCATCCACAACTCCATTTTGTCTGGATTAAGTTTCCCATCTATTACTGTCCCTAGGTATCAATTCAGAAAGTACACTGCACACACCTGGATCAGACAAAAAGGAAAAACAGAGTTGGATATCAACAACATACTGATTATATTTCATCCTGTACTCCCTCGAGATCTCATCCAGTGGTTTCATGTAACTATTAAGACAAAGTTGGTACCATGTGACACCCCAAATGGAGATAAACAGGGGTTCCCCCTCCTGCCCAGTTCCTCATGATCCAGCCAGGTAGGAGTGGATCCACTGCAACGGACCACTGAATGAGAACAAATTCATTCAGGAAATTATCACTGTACTCAGTTGGGACCCACTGGAGACTTATTCACATCATACTCAGTTGCCCACTGGAGAGTTCAGAGTAGACAATCCAATCACTGCCTGTACAGACATTTCTCTAGCAGAGAAATTGTCAGACAACTTTTTGGTTGTTGTGTAATTGAGCAGAGACCAAAGAATATTCATGAAGACATTTAATTCCACCAGACTTGCTAAGAACAAGATGAAATGCTGCTTGTGTTTGGTATTTCTTTTTCTTTTTTTTAATAGATGAAAGTTTTATTATGTTTTTATTGTAAGCTGCTGGGGGGGCATATGGCTAAAAAGCATCCTGAGAAATACAAGTAAATAAATATTTTTTTTCTGTAAAAGATTCTTGTGGTTGCAAGTTGACAAGTACAGCTGAAATGAACTTAATATTCAAAGCTGAATTTACTGCAGTCCACCTAAGCAGATTCTGTTAGACGTTTGGATTCTAAAGGTTGCAAGTCATGCTCATTCTAATTGGGGCAGTGAAATCATTGGTTAAGTGGGAGGTGTTATCTGTACAGTCCACATGAAACTAACTTTGACATCACTAGAGTCTGGGCAGAAGGCTTTTAATCACAGGAAAAGTATTTACACGGCCAATGCAAATGCATCAAGTACGGAGAGTGATGCATTTGTTTCTGTAATACCACTCAGTATCCAGAAGCATTCTGTCCATAGCTGTCCATTCAGAATGTTAATTTCGTAATCACTGGCACCAGTGGTTTTTAGGGTGTTCAAGAACTTGAGCAACAGAGAAAAAAAGTAGGACTCCTGTTTCTTCCCTCCTCTCCAGTCTGTAATCCTTAATGCAGATCTACCCTGGTATTACCATTCCCCAGTGCCATTCCCTTGTATAACCTGAACACTGGCACAAGCAGCCAAGTTGTACCATTAAACCATTGTATGGAAAAAGTTCATGCAAAGGAAAGAGGAACAGCAAAGCACAGCTGCCACCCAGGTATAAACAGAAGCTGAGGTACTTCTACATACCTGAGTAGTATCAATCTAAAAGATGAATTAACCAATAAAATCCCAGAACAGGGATTTTATTGGAGAGTTCAGACTAGAAAATCCAGTTGCTGCCTGTACAGACATTTCCCTAGCAGAAAAATTGTTTGGTGTCAGGTGCACTGATGGCATGCATCTGGAATGCAAAAGGTACACAGTCCAGAGCAGTAGTTGTGTTAGTATGCTGCAACAAAAGCAAGCAGAGTTCTTGGGGCTCCTCCTTGACAGATTTTTATTCTAACAAACTTTTGTGGTCCAGAGTCTTCCACCTCCTGTGCACCAACGGTGTCCTCTCACCCCTGATGTTATCTTTTTTTTTTCCTGAGGGTTTTTTCTTTGTATTTTTCATATGTGCATATGTGTGTGTGCACATGCAAGTGTGTGCACACCTGGAGGTCATGGTGACCTCGGGTTACAGACTGTGTGTGCACCTGGAAGTCATGGTGACCTCTGGTGACCGACCCCTACTGGGGGCCTGGAGGATATTCAGAGAGGTGGCTGAATAAAGCCTGCCCTCACCTCCCAAATGCTGGTATTTCTAGGAGGCCTCCCATCCAAGTACTTGGCAGAGTCGACCCTGCTTAGCTTCCGAGATCCGACAGGACTGGGCTTGCCTGGGCTATCCAGGTCAGGGCGCCCCTGATGTTAATTTTTCCAGGCATTGGTTCCTCTCCTTCCAGTCCAGTTCTACATTGTCCTCTTCCTAATTTTGAACACTGCCACTTGACAACAGCTTAACCTTGGACTATAGAGGCATGTGGTTCTGTCAGCATTGGTTTATTTAGTTTGCATCAGTTATTCTGGTTACAGAATGTAAGAATCTGGAGTACTGGAGATGTAATCAGGGCTCCCGGTACCTAATTTGGAAGTTGTCCTGGTGGCTTTCTTATACTTGTAGATGGCCAGTTGTTTTGGTGTCCTACATATATAGAATTATGGATTGCTACTAGCACCTACTACATTTGTTGTTACTCACTTTGAGCCTCTCTCAGTCTAGTTTGTGCCACTGGTCATTAAAGTCCAAAGTGAAGATGGACCCCACATTTGGAAAGCAATTTGATTTTGACATTCCAGTACTGATGTGGGAGCAGCACTTCACCCCAGAGACTTGGGACAGACTGAAGGAACGCAACGTCCCGTATGGCTGGCGTGGGTTGTCGTATGGAGGTAATAGGTTGTCTCAGTTGGAGTCAGAGAAACTTTTTAAAATTCATGATAAATGAATAAACATGGCTTCTTATAGAAAGAACCATTATCGCTGAGAAGCCCTGCTGGCCACAGCAGGGGTCAGGCTCCCATCTTCGCCAAACAGATTGGAAGTTTAGAACAAAGTTTGAGTCCACTGGCACCTTTAAGATCAACAAAGTTTTATTCAAGATTGGAACTTTGATAGTCTTGACCATAAACAGGATTGTCATAAACATGGGGTAGGGACCCCTCTGAATTCAAGCATCAGCTTCTGTCCCGCATAAAGAGTCTGAAGTCCAGAAAGATGGTGATTGTCTGTAGGAAACAGACAGCTCCTCTTCAGTTGTGGTGAGAGTTCATGTCCTTAGTTTAGCCTCTCATGATGCCTCCTATAAGCAGTTGCTCCACAGCCACCCATGTGGCCACCTTCATGGAGACTCATCTATTCATATGCAAGATAGGAAGAGAAAAGGTGCAGTCATTTGTAGGGCTCTTTTCTCACTGCCCTTTCACTTATTCTGTTGAAGGTTCTGGTGCACACTTGCTGTGGGTGTGGCGGTCCTGAAGAAAAGGAGATAAAAGTGTGCGAGTGGAAGGGAGGGGAGAGAAAGGGAAGATTCCTTCATCTCTTTTGCAGCAAATACCGAAAGGGTTTTTAATTTTGTTTTACTTTGGTCAGCACGCTTAGTATTGCAAGTGTCATGATTTTTATAATGGCATTCCCAATGTCTGGTTTCTCTTTAAACACCTAAGACTGGGGGGGGGGGGGATGAAAATGTTGGTATCAGCACCTTGTGACATTTGCCTGAATAAAAGGTCCCAGTGTCTATGTGGTAATTAACCATAACCAAAGGGCATTGTCACTACCTACTCCATGGTTGCTGTTGGACATTGGCAGCTGGGAAGCATCTCGCTTCCTTCCCCATGCCCTCTCGTCTCCGTTTGCCAAACGGCACTGACTGCCTGGCCAGCTAATGTCCTGGATTTGTAAGAAAGGGAGGAGCATGCACTGGAAGCAGAGGAAGAAACAAAAGAACAGGGGAAATGCTAGCTGAAGAAAGTCCTTGCTAGGTAGAAGGAAGTATGTAAGATGGTGTCTGGAGCATACTTGAGCACAGAAGTTGTGTACTGGCAAAGGACCTTTCACAGGGTTACTACCATCTTCCTTGAGAGTCTCATGTGCACACAGCTCTGCAGGTGGCCATGTAGGAAAGAGTGGGAAGATCTACCTGGAGCCAAGAGAAGACACAAAGAAAAATAAAAAGTCTTTTTCAGCTCTGTTATTGCCAGGAGCTTCTATGTACATAAGTGCCATCAAGTTGAACCCAATTTATGGCGACCCCAGCAAGGGGTTTTAAAGCAAGTGAGAAGCAGAGGTGGTTTGCCATTGCCTTCCTCTGCAGAATCTTCCTTGGTGGTCTCCCATCCAAGAACGGACCCTGTGAGCATCTGAGATCTTTTGCTGCCTTCCCTCTTGCAGGGGCATCTGAATATAATTTCAGAGTCAATCTTTTACATTTCAGAACTTGCCCCCAAAGAGTTTCTTGACTATTGGTTTTTCAGAATTATTCAGGTTTTTAACAGAACTACTCTCTCCACCCCCCAAAAAAATGCAGAATGGTATATTATGACGAAAAAAGTAACGTGAATTTTGCCTTGTGTGCTTTCTGCCAGCTTCTTAGTGCTTGCACAATCCTTAATCCCAAATTGGTGGTTTCCCCATAGTAATTTTGTGTGGCCTCTTGTTTTTGGTTCCTCTGATCTAATGCATCAATTTGCTTTGATCTGCAGTTATCGCTTCCACAGTGCAGCTCCTCAATGACCCTGCCAACAGCAGGCTCTTTGCCAAGACCAGGCCCCCCAACAGCTGCATCCGCTGTGCTGTGGTGGGCAATGGGGGAATTCTGAATGGATCCCGCCAAGGCAAGGACATAGATGCTCATGACTTTGTCTTCAGGTACAAAGAGGCTGGCAATCCATACGTTTGGGAAGAAACAAAAGATCATTTGGGGAATAAGCCAGAGTGTGCGGGGGAGGGGGGCATGCCCTGATGCAGGAACATTTAGGGTTGCCAAGTCTGAAGCGGCACTGGAGCGGGGGACTCCAGCACCGCTTTGGGAGTGTGTGTGCGCACAAAGCGCGCACGCGCCGCAACCACGTCACCCAAAAGTGACGCGACCACGCTGGGCACGGTGGGGGCGGGGCTACGACCATCCGAGGGAAAACCATAGAGTGACGTGCACGTCGCGTGCTTTAGGGGTGGGGTTCCCCCCGGGGCCCGAAACGCTGGCGGCAGGGAACGGGCCTCTGGGGCGGGGCTTTCCCCGCCCCCCGGGGGGACTTGGCAAGCCTAGGAACATTTGGAGGTACTTGTTTGTTCTCAGGTACAGGTTTATCCATGGTCCCCAGCACAGTTCCCTTCCTTCTCTTCCTATTTTGCAGCTCCTTTACTCCATCTGTATCACAGCTTCACCATAAGAGGAGTCTCGTGTTTTCATATGGGAAGGGTACCTGGAGAAGGCAGCAGAAATGTGATTCTCTTACACTTTATTTCCTCTGCTGCTACAATGTAGTCCCATGATTTGAAGATGTGCCAGATGTCAGTGGTGGGCCCTCTGTTACTGTGAGCCTCAGTAGGTGGCCAGCCATGCTGACCCTTGACAGTGATCCTGCCTTTCAACAGTCCTCTGAGAAAACAGCTGGTCTTGTCCACATGTTTAGTGCACCACACATGCTGTGTTTGTTACCTTATCTTTTAGGAGGCAAATATCTTGTCTTAGGCAAACAAGGATCCATATCTGATTGGCTTTCATGTTTTGGTCCTGATTTTTCTTCAACGAACTTATTTATTCATTTATAATTCAGTTTATATCCCGCCCTCCCCTAAGGTTCAGGGCAGCTAACAATTGAGGCAAAAGCCATAATTAAAACAATTAAGACAAGATAAAAACATAACAATAGTACAACGAAGTGCTGGTGCTCTGATGTTCCCAGTTCCAAGATGGGTTCCGGTAGGGTGGATCCAGACCAACGACATAAGTTCCAAAGCGGCAAATAGCCAGTCTTCTTCCCAGGGCCCGACTGCACCCTGATAGTATCTCTGTCAATTTTCGGCGACGGTGCATTGATGGAACAGTAGCGGCGGCGGCTCTTACTTGAAAGCCTGGTGGAAGAGCTCCGTCTTGCAGGCCCTGCAGAACTGCACAAGATCCCACAGGGCCCGGATCTCCTCCGGGAGCTCATTCCACCAGGTAGGAGCCGCCACCGAAAAGGCCCTGGCCCTAGTCTCGGCGAGTTTGACGTCCCTGAGGCCTGGGGTAGTCAAAAGATGTTGGCCCCCCAACCGTAGTGCCCTTGGGGGAACATATGGGGAAACGCGGTCCCTTAGGTCACACTAAAGAGCTAACTAAACTTAGGGCACACTAAAGAGTTAAGAAATTGATCCAATAGATATGCTCAGTGGCCTGCTTTACTGCCATTCTCAGAACCTGTTTAATCATTGAGTTTAGCTATGGATAGAATTTTCGCTCAGACTAGGCTGACTAGTTATACACAGGGGCAGTCTTCATGATTCTGGGACCCTGGGCCATCCCCCTGCTGGGCCAAGCAAGGGGTAGTCATCACCCAATGTGGTGTTGGTGGGAGTCATAGCCACCATTAATGTGCTGGCTGAGGCTCAAAGAGAATAGCTCCAAACAAGCCTGCTCTTCCTCTTCTTTCCCCCCCTGCTTTGGGGTATGCAGGGCTCTGCATGATTGGGGGTCCTCACAGCATAGGGCTTGAGGCAGCCCATTGGGAAAGACCACCCCAAATAGCCAATTTGATATAGTGGTTAGGAGTGCGGACTCTAATCTGAAAGAACTGGGTTTGAATCCCCACTTCTCCACATGCAGCTGCTGGTGTGACCTTGGGTCAGTCACAAGTTCTTTCAGAGCTGTTCTCTCATGAGCAGTTCTTGAAAGAGCTCTTTCAGCCCCACCTACCTCACAGGGTGTCTGTTGTGGGGAGGGGAAGGGAAAGGGAATGTAAGTCGCTCTGAGCCTCCTTCGAGTAGTGAGGGGCAGGGTATAAATCCAATCTCTTCTCTTCTTCCCTGACTACACATGGCTGTTCACTTGTCTCTGATTTTCCTCTGTGGGAGCTGCCTTGTTTTTTCCATCCTTGCATTTTTTCTAAATATATTCCTGTAACATCTATGATGGGCTGGCTGTTCTCTTCTTTGGATACTCTTTAATCTGGAAGATGTAGGCCATTCACTTAAGGGTTGTTTAGAGGTAGAAGGTACTGCATCTTGCATGAGATTGCACTAATACATTAAAATCCCATGATTCTTCATTCTAGCTAGGTTTGATAGACTACCGTTTGATATGGGATGATGGATTTCCATTGTGGGATTGCAGCATTTGCCCAAGTGGAACCCCTGTAGGCAGCGGGATAGAGATTAGAGAATCTTTCTGATCGCTGTTCTAGTACTTGACAAACAAAAATCTTTAAGCCTTGGTCATATGCTGAGGAGTGCCGTGTAGTTATTCTACTGGTGAACAGCAATATGTTCCTCAGAATGTGTGTCCCTCTTTTCTCCTCACAGGCTCAATGGGGCAGTGATCAAAGGCTTTGAGGAAGATGTTGGGACAAAGACCTCCTTTTATGGTTTCACAGTAAACACCATGAAGAATTCTCTTATTGCTTATGCAGAATATGGCTTCACCCAGATACCACAGGGCAAGGTATATACACAACCTTATTAGGATTTTTCCTCCCTTACCCCACATGTGCAGCCTTATGACATTAGTACTTCAAGTTATTCTAGCTTTTGCCACACAACATTTTTGAGCCAACAGAAAATGCAGGCAGCTCTGTGTGTATAATGTGCAATACAATCTTTTTTGAGATCTTGAAGAAAGAAAGCATAGTGGAAATGAGGGCGTGGCAGTGTAGCTTGGGCAAGTAGGAGACTGAACTTCCATCGTTCAAAGAATCCTTCATGATCAGGGGAGAATCTAGCTACATTTGTGCTTCACTACCACAGACATAACTGAAGTATATAACAGTCCATCAATCTGATACTCCTGTTTTGTGTTTTGCATTCCCTCCTAACATGGCTGCAGGATATATGGTACATTTTCATTCCCTCAGATATACGTGATTACCTCATGATCAAATCTGCTGTGTTGGGCATCCCTGTTCCAGAAGGTTATGACAAAGGGGATGAGTAAGTACTGCTCTCTTTCTGCTTCTCCTGTCGTTGTTTCAACCATCAGGCCCTTCTTGGAAAGCCCCAGAGCAGATCTAGTATGAACATCAGCAATGCAAAGTATACTCTGGGTTGGCATCCTTGGGGTTATGTCTCTTTCTTATTCCTCTTTCTTTTTAGCTTTCATGCGACTGTGTTCCCAAAATCCTGGTGAAGTAGCTAAGAGACAACTTTGAGGTTGGCAAAGTAGCCGCACAGTAGAAATATTTCCCTATAAGCAACCTCTCTTCTAAAACATTATCACTTTGTCATATTCCCTCAAAATTACATGTTTGATGATTATGGAGTATTTGCTTTGCTTCATATTTGCTCTTTAATTATGTTTAGATTTGTAATTATTGGTATGGAAGTCCCTTTCTTGTTTAATCTCTCTGATTTGGGGATATTGCAAACGAACACCCATCCATGTACTTAAACATTGTATTTCCAGAGGATTTGTGGGAAAAGAGAAGGTTGGGACTGTAAAGCATAGTGAGATAGTAGAATTTGGACACTATTCAACATTATCTAGCTTTCATTGATGGTATTTACCATTATAGTAATACAAGAAGGGGGACCCGCGATACTCGCGGGGGGTGGGA